CTGAACCGGGGGGATCTGAACTGGGGATCTGGACCAGGGATCTGAACTGGGGGATCTGAACTGGGGGGATCTGGACTGGGGAACGGCACCGGGGATCCGAACTGGGGATCTGAACTGGGGGGATCTGGACTGGGGGGATCTGAACCGGGGGGATCTGAACTGGGGGATCTGAACTGGGGGATCTGAACCGGGGGGATCTGGACTGGGGGGATCTGGACCGGGGGGATCTGAACTGGGGGGATCTGAACTGGGGGGATCTGGACTGGGGGGATCTGAACCGGGGGGATCTGAACTGGGGGATCTGAACTGGGGGATCTGAACCGGGGGGATCTGGACTGGGGATCTGAACTGGGGGGATCTGGACTGGGGGGATCTGGACCGGGGGGATCTGAACCGGGGGGATCTGGACTGGGGGATCTGAACTGGGGGGATCTGAACTGGGGGGATCTGGACTGGGGGGATCTGAACTGGGGGGATCTGGACTGGGGGGATCTGAACCGGGGGGATCTGGACTGGGGATCTGAACCGGGGGGATCTGAACTGGGGGATCTGAACTGGGGGATCTGAACCGGGGGGATCTGGACTGGGGATCTGGACTGGGGGATCTGAACTGGGGGGATCTGAACTGGGGGGATCTGGACTGGGGGGATCTGAACTGGGGGGATCTGGACTGGGGGGATCTGAACCGGGGGGATCTGGACTGGGGATCTGAACTGGGGGGATCTGGACTGGGGGGATCTGAACCGGGGGGATCTGAACTGGGGGATCTGAACTGGGGATCTGCACCAGGGGATCTGAACTGGCAATCTGAACTGGAAATCTGAACTGGGGATCTGAACCGGGCATCTGAATCAGGGATCTGAACCGGGGATCTAAACCGGGGATCTGAACCGGGGATCCAAACCCAGGGATCTGAACTGGGGATCTGAACCGGGGATCTGCATTGGGGATCTGAACTGGGGATCTAAACCTGGGGATCTGAACTGGGGATCCGAACCGGGGGGATCCAACCTGGGGATGTGAACCGAGGTATCCAACCCACGGGATCTGCACCAGGGGATCTGAACCGGGGATCTGAACCGGGGATCTGAACCGGGGGATCCACACTGGGGGACCTGCACCGGGGCCAGGGTGGGGGAGCGGGACACGGAACCAGGACAGGGCGTCGCTAAACCGCCCTTGGGGTGTGCCAGAAATCCTAAAACTGCCCCTGGGGTGTGCCTGAGCATCCCAAGGCAGCCCTGGGGCATCCCAAAACCACCCCTGGGGCTGGCACAGGTGAGTGGGACATGGAACTGGGATGGGGCATTCCTAAACCGCCCCTGGAGTGTGCCAGGTAATCCCTGGGGCATCCCAAAACCACCCCTGGGGCATCCCAAAACCACCCCTGGGGCGTGCCAGAAATCCCAAATAACCCCCGGGCTATCCCAGAGCTTTGGGGGCAGCGTGGGTGCTCCTGCCTGGCTTTGGGGGCAGCGTGGGTGCTTTAGGGGCAGTATCGGTGCTTTAGGGCCAGCATGGGTGGGTTTCAGCCCCTGGGGTCCTCTCCCTCGCCCCTCGGAAGCTCAGCCCCCCAGGGATGGCCATCCTGCAGTGAGGCACTCACCATCTGCCTCTCGTTCTTCACCTCCTTCTTCAGCTGGTCCAGCTCCATCTTGAGCAGCTCCTTCTCGGTCATGTCCTGAGCCATGGTGCCCTGGAACTGGGGCACAGCCGGTTATTGGGATTATTGCTGTGGGGGATTGAGACCCCCTCAGTGTCCCTGAGCAGTGCCTGGGACGCTTCCCGACCTTCCTGAGGAATTAAACGCATTGCAGCTTTCCTTTCCTCCAGCTTTTTGCAGCATGGTTCCTTCATTGTCTGCACTCCCCTGGAAGTTTTGGGACCGTGGAATTTGGGAAAACCCAAATTTTTCCCCAAAAAACCCCCATGGGACGCCTGCCCCGTGCTCCTCTCCGTGCCTGGGGTCACCGCCAGCCCCGGGAGCCCCCAAACCCGGGAGGGAGCAATTCCTGGTGCCCAGATGGGGCAGAGGGACTCACCTGGGGGCCGGGGGCCGCCCCTGTGCGCGCCGGGGCCGCTCAGAGCCCCATGGAGGGACGGGACAGGAGGGGACAGGAGGGGACAGACAGGACAGACAGGAGAGGAGATGAGAGGCTGCTCTGCGGTTCCGGGTACCTGCAGCAGATGTCTTTGCCGCTAAGCTGATAATGGACTCAGCGGCCTAAGCCGGTCAGGTGTTGGGAATTAGCCCCAAAGCCCGGCCTGACCGGGCCGGGGGGGCTGCGGGGCTGGGGGGTCCGGCCGGGACAGGCGGGGAGACCCCCGGGACTGCCCGGGGAGTGGCCGAGTCCTGCCCGAGAGGCGGGAGTGACCACGGGAGTGACCACGGGAGTGACCACGGGAGTGACCACGGGAGTGACCCCAGGAGTGACCATGGGAGTGACCCCAGGAGTGACCATGGGAGTGACCCCAGGAGTGACCCCAGGAGTGACCACTGAGAGTGACCCCAGGAGTGACCATGGGAGTGACCCCAGGAGTGACCATGGGAGTGACCATGGGAGTGACCACGGGAGTGACCATGGGAGTGACCACTGAGAGTGACCCCAGGAGTGACCATGGGAGTGACCATGGGAGTGACCCCAGGAGTGACCATGGGAGTGACCCCGGGAGTGACCACGGGAGTGACCATGGGAGTGACCACTGAGAGTGACCCCAGGAGTGACCCCAGGAGTGACCATGGGAGTGACCATGGGAGTGACCATGGGAGTGACCACGGGAGTGACCATGGGAGTGACCACTGAGAGTGACCCCAGGAGTGACCATGGGAGTGACCATGGGAGTGACCCCAGGAGTGACCATGGGAGTGACCCCGGGAGTGACCACGGGAGTGACCATGGGAGTGACCACTGAGAGTGACCCCAGGAGTGACCCCAGGAGTGACCACGGGAGTGACCATGGGAGTGACCATGGGAGTGACCCCAGGAGTGACCATGGGAGTGACCACGGGAGTGACCCCAGGAGTGACCATGGGAGTGACCCCAGGAGTGACCCCAGGAGTGACCCCAGGAGTGACCCTGGGAGTGACCACTGAGAGTGACCCCAGGAGTGACCGTGGGAGTGACCACAGGAATGACCACTGGGGGTGATCCCTGGGAATGACCCCTGGCGTGACCTCTGGGAGTGACCCTGGGAGTGACCCTGGGAGTGACCACGGGAGTGACCACTGGGAGTGATCACGGGGTGATCCCTGGGAATGACCCCGGGAGTGACCTCTGGGAGTGACCACTGGGGGTGGCCCTAGGAATGACCACTGAGAGTGACCCTGGGAGTGACCACTGAGAGTGACCCCGGGAGTGACCATGGGAGTGACCACCCAGGAGTGACCTCGGGAATGACCCTGGGAGTGACCACTGAGAGTGACCACTGGGAATGACCCTGGGAGTGACCCCTGGAGTGACCCCTGGAGTGACCACTGGGAATGACCCCGGGAATGACCCCGGGAATGACCCCAGGGCTGACCCCGGGAATGACCCCGGCATTAACCCCCGCACTGACCCCGGGGGTCCCGGCGGTTCCCCCCGGTTTGTTCGGGGTCGGTCCGGGAGCCGCCGGTGCCGGTGCCGCTCGGAGCGGGATCGCAGGAAATCCATCGCTTCCCCCGGGCCGGGCTCAGGAAGGGCCGGGCCGGGGCCGGGCCGGGGCCCGGGAGGCGCCGGGGCAGCGCCTGGGGCGGGGCGGGAGCGGAGCCGGGGCCGCCGGGGCTTCCCGAGCGCCAATTTCCTGCGGGGATGGGAACGCGCCGGGCCAAGGACGCGCTGTGCCCTGACAGGGGCTCACCGGGGCTCACCGGGGCACAACGGGGCTCACCGGGCTCACCGGGCTCACCGGGGCTCACCGGGCACCCGGGGCTCACCGGGGCTCACCGGGCTCACCGGGGCTCACCGGGGCACAACGGGCACCGCGGGGCTCACCAGGCTCACCGGGGCTCACCGGGCTCACCGGGCTCACCGGGGCTCACCGGGGCACAACGGGGCTCACCGGGCTCACCGGGCTCACCGGGGCTCACCGGGCACCCGGGGCTCACCGGGGCACAACGGGGCTCACCGGGGCTCACCGGGCTCACCGGGCTCACCGGGGCACAACGGGGCTCACCGGGGCTCACTGGGGCTCACCGGGGCACAACGGGGCTCACCGGGGCTCACCGGGCTCACCGGAGCACAACGGGGCTCACCGGGGCACAACGGGGCTCACCGGGCTCACCGGGGCACAACGGGGCTCACCGGGGCTCACCGGTGGCACAGATGGGGGTCAGGGTGATTGTAGGGTCGAGGTCCTTCTGGGGTCTGGATCCTTTCAGGCTCTGGATCCTTTTGGGATCTACATCCTTTTGGGGTCTGGATGCCTCTGGGGTCCGCATCCTTGTGGAATCGGGATCCTTCTGGGGTTGGGATCCTTCTGGGGTAAAGATCCCTTTGGGGTCTGGATCCTCTGGGGTCAGGATGGTTTTAGGGTCAGGATCCTTCTGGGCTCGGGATCCTTCTGGGGTCGGGATCATTTTTGGGTCTGCATCGTTCTGGGATCTGCATCTTCCTGGAGTCTGGATCCTTTCAGAGTCTGGATCCTTTGGGGTCAGGGTCCCTTTGGGGTCGGGATCCTTTTGGGGTCTGCATCCTTTTGGGGTCTGCATCCTTTTGGGGTCGGGATCCTTTTGGGGTCTGCATCCTTTTGGGGTCGGGATCCTTTAGGTGTGGGCTCCCTGCCGGCGCTGCCTGCCGGTTCCCGTGCCTCCCACCCTTCCCATCCTCCCCGCTGCCCTCCCCGCCGCTCCCCGCGTGTCCCGGGCAGGGCGGGGTGTCCCGGGGGGGAACGGGGACACGGCGGCGCCCGCGGGCCCTGCGTCAGCACCGGCAGCGCCTTCAAATCGCGCCCGGGAGGAAGTGGGGCCGGGCCGGGGCTGGGGCCGGGGCTGGGACCGGAGCTGGGCCGGGGCCGGGGCGATGTCGGAGCTGGAGCGGCTGCGGCTGAGCGAGATCCCCGCGGGCCGGGAGCGGCTGCGGGAGCAGCACGGGAACCTGCTCAGGGTGGCCGAGTACTGCCACAGCAACTACCTGCAGGTGAGGGCCGAGCCGGGCTGAGCCGGGCTGGGCTGAGCCGGGCCGGGGGCGATGCTGGAGCGGGCCCGGCTGCCCCGAGCATCCCCTGGCTCCGGTCCCGCCGCTCTCCGCTGGGTGCCCCGGCTGCTCCTGTGCCCCCCCCGGGAACTCCCGGGGGCTTTGGGGTGCAGGGGGGGCTCTCTGGGGGGTTGGTATCGCTGGGGAAGCCTTGGGAGGGGGCTGGGGACAGGTGAGGGTCACAGGGGCCGGGAGGTGGCACCTGGCGGGGCCTGTGCGTGCGGGGCGAGTGTGAAGCTGTGCTGGTGTCCTCATCCTCATCCTCACCCCATCCCCATTCTCATCCTCATCCTTCCCATCCTCATCCCCATCCCCATCCCCCTTGTCCTCCTCATCCTCCTCATCCTCCTTCTCCTCGTCCTCCTCATCCTCCTCCTCGTCCCCATCCCCATCCGCCTTGTCCTCCTCATCCTCCTCATCCCCATCCTCCTTGTCCTCCTTGTCCTCCTCCTCCCCATCCCCATCCCCATCCCCATCCCCATCCCCATCCTCCTTGTCCTCCTCCTCATCCTCCTCATCCTCCTCATCCTCCTCACCCTGCCTGGCTCACCGAGCACCGGAACAGGATTTTAGGGGATGGAATCAGGAGGAAAATGCCCATTTTGTCCCTCCCAGCCGGGCAGGGCTCCCCGTGTGCCCACCGGGGCCGGGCCGTGGCTCCTGCCGGCCCCGAGGCGGCTCCGCCATCGCGGGGCCCGGAGCCGGCGGGGCAGAACCGAGGGGAAATGAGCGGAGCTATTTCGGGAGCTGAGCCCCGGCACAGCTGAGAGCAAACCCTGGCACGGTTCAGAGCCCCGGCACGGCTCAGCACGGCTCAGCACGGCTCAGAGCCCCGGCACTGCCGCTGCCACCCCGGCCGTGCCACACGCAGCCCCTCTCTCTGGCTGTCCCCTCCCCACGGCTGTCCCGAGGCTGAGCCGGGCACTCGGTGACCCCCGGAGCCCCCGGGTCCGCATTCCCGGCAGGATCCCGGGCCCTCATTCCCAGAGGAATCCTGGGCCTCATTCCCGGTGCAATCCCGGGCCCTCATTCCCGGCGGGATCCCGGGCCCTCATTCCCGGTGCGATCCCGGCCCCTCATTCCCGGTGCAATCCCGGGCCCTCATTCCCGGTGCGATCCCGGGCAATCCCCGCACCGCCACCGCCGGGCCCCGGGGGAAGTTGAGGCATTCGGAAAGCAGAAGGAAACCCCTCGGGGGTTCGGGCAATGATTTCTCGTCCCACGGCCCCGGGCTGTGTCCCCGCAGGCCGGCGACAAGCGGCGGGCGCTGCAGGAGACGATGGCGCTGAGCACGCAGTCCCTGGCCAGTGTCACCTACCAGGTCAGCAGCCTGGCCCGCGCCTTCCTGCGCCTCATGGACCTGCAGGCGGCCCAGCTGCGCCAGCTGGAGGCCGATGTCACCTGCGTGGCACAGGTGGGACCGAGGGGACCGGGGGGGGGGGGGACGGGGACAGGGGCTGTGAGCGGCTCCGAGGGGCTGGAGACCCCCCCGAGCACTGGGAGTGCAGAGCCAGCCCCAGGAATGGCCTCGGGGGCATTTCCCTGTCACACCTGCCCAGCCCAAAGTGTCCCCAAATCTCGCAGTGGCCACCCTGAGCTTGGGCACACTGCTGCAGGGCCCTGTGGGCACTCTGAGCTTGGGGACACTGCTGCAGGGCCCTGTGGGCACCCCAACATTGGGGACACTGCTGAGGGGTCCTGTGGCACCTGGGACTTGGGGACACTGCTGAGGGGTCCTGTGGCACCTGGGACTTGGGGACACTGCTGAGGGGTCCTGTGGTCGCCAAGGGCTTGGGGACACTGCTGAGGGGTCCTGTGGGGTCCTGGAGTTTGGGGACAGAGAGCTTGGGGACACTGCTGCAGGGCCCTGTGGGCACCCCAACATTGGGGACACTGCTGAGGGGTCCTGTGGGGTCCTGGGGCTTGGGGACACTGCTGCAGGGCCCTGTGGCACCCGGGGGGGGGGGGGGGAGCCGAGCCCGGGGTGGCACTTTGGGGACAGTGTCACCTCGGCAGAGCGTGGACATCCACAAGGAGAAGGTGTCGCGGCGCGAGATCGGCGCCCTGACCGTCACCAGGAGGTGCCTGAGCTTCCAGAAGGTTCTGCCCCCCCCGGAGCCCCCCGTGCTGGAGCCCTACTACCGGAGACCCCTCAACTTCAGCGTGCTGGACGGCGTGGGCCACGGCGTCAAGGTGGGGGCCCTCGGGTGGCATTCATCGGTCCCTGGTGTCCCCAGTGTCCCCAAGTGTCCCCTGAGGGGGGCACGGGTGGCTCTGACCCCTCCTCCATGGAGAACTGGGGTCTGTCCGTGCCTGCTCAGCTTTGGGGGCCTCGCACCCCACGGAGGCTTTGCCAGCTCTGGGAACCCCACGGGAGGGGCTTGGGAGCCTCAGAACCCCAGAGATCCTTCCCTACCTCAGAAACCCCCCACAGGAGGGGTTTGGGAGCCCCACGGATCCTGCCCCATTGCAGAAACCCCCCACAGGAGGGGTTTGGGAGCCCCACGGATCCTGCCCCACTGCAGAAATCCCCACAGGAGGGGTTTGGGAGCCCCACGGATCCTGCCCCACTGCAGAAATCCCCACAGGAGGGGTTTGGGAGCCCCACGGATCCTGCCCCACTGCAGAAATCCCCCACAGGAGGGGTTTGGGAGCCCCACGGATCCTGCCCCATTGCAGAAATCCCCCACAGGAGGGGTTTGGGAGCCCCATGGATCCTGCCCCACTGCAGAAATCCCCCACAGGAGGGGTTTGGGAGCCCCACGGATCCTGCCCCACTGCAGAAATCCCCACAGGAGGGGTTTGGGAACCCCAGAGCCCCGTGGAGCCTTTCCCAGCCCTGAGAGGCGCCCACAATAGGGTTCAGAGGGCTCTGAGCCCCACGGATCCTCCCCCACTGCAGAAATCCCCCACAGGAGGGTTCAGTTTCCTCTGAGCCCCACGGATCCTCCCCCACACCGGAAACCCCACGGAGGCCTCGGGGGAGGCGCTGCCGCGGTTCCCACGGTGCCGCTGCTGCCTCGGGGCCGCCCCGGTGGCTCTTGCTTGGGCAGGGATGGCACCCACATGTGTCTGTGTGTCCCCATGTCCCCGTGTGTCCCCGTGTCCCTGTGTCCATGTGTCTGTGTGTCCCCGTGTGTCCCCATGTCCATGTATCCCCGTGTCCATGTGTCCCCGTGCCCGTCTGTCCCCGTGTCTGTGTGTCCCCGTGTGTCCCCGTGTGTCCCCGTGTCCCGTGCTGCAGGACACCAGCACGCAGCTGTCCCGCACCGGCACCCTGGCTCGCAAAAGCACCAAATCCTCCTCGGCCCAGGCTGCGGGGACGCTGGGGTGAGACGGGACTGCTGGGTCACCGAGGGGCGGTGGCATGTGGCGTGGATCCCATCCCATCCCATCCCATCCCATCCCATCCCATCCCATCCCATCCCATCGATCCCCGTGATCCCATGGATTCCACTGATCCCATCCCATTGATCTCATCCCATCAATCCCAACCCACCCCACTGATCCCAACCCATCCCATTGATCCCATCCCATCCCACTGATCCCATTCCAACCCACTGATCCCAACCCATTGATCCTATGGATCTCGCTGATCCCATTGATCCTATCCCACTGATCCCATCCCATTGACCCCATCCCACTGATCCCAACCCGTCCTGTCCCATCCCATCCCACTGATCCCATCCTATTGATCCCATGGGTCCCATTGATCCCATCCCATCAATCCCATGGATCCCATTGATCCCATGGATCCCCATGATCCCATTGATCCCACTGATCCCATCAATCCCGTGGATCCCATTGATTCTATCCCACTGATCCCATCCCATCCCTTTCCATTCCATCCCACCCCATTCCATTGATCCCATGCATCCCATTGATCCCATCGCATCAATCTCATTGAGCCCATTGATCCCACTGATCCCATCCCACTGATCCTATTGATCCCATCCCATCAATCCCATTGATCCCACTGATCCCATTGATCCCATCAATCCCATGGATCCCATTGATTCTATCCCACTGATCCCATCCCATCCCTTTCCGTTCCACCCCACCCCATTCCATTGATCCCATGCATCCCATTGATCCCATCGCATCAATCTCATTGAGCCCATTGATCCCACTGATCCCATTGATCCCATCCCATCAATCCCATTGATCCCACTGATCCCATTGATCCCATCAATCCCATGGATCCCATTGATTCTATCCCACTGATCCCATCCCATCCCATCCCATCCCATTCCATTGATCCCATGCATCCCATTGATCCCATCGCATCAATCTCATTGATCCCATTGATCCCAACCCATTGATCCCAATGATCCCACTGATCTCATCCCACTGATCCTATTGATCCCATCCCATCAATCCCATTGATCCCAATGATCCCATTGATCCCAACCCACTGACCCCACTGACCCCACTGACCCCACTGATCCCATTGACCCCACTGACCCCACTGACCCCACTGACCCCACCGATCCCCTCAGGAGGAGCGGCCGTGTCCCCGAGCCGGTGCAGCCGCCCGTGGTTCCTGTGGGGAAGCTCCCGAGCGGCTCCTGCGGCTCCTCCCCGCTGCCCCCCAGGTACCGGGACGGCTCCTGCGCTCGGGGTTTGGGGGGAAAAATGGGGGTTTTGGGGAAAAACGGGGTTTTGGGGAAAAACGGGGTTTGGGGGATTTGCTGCCCTGGCAGGGCTCGTGGGCAGGGCAAGGGTGTCCTTTAGGGAGAGGGAGAACGGTGGGAAATGATGATGGGAAATAATGGGAAATAATGGGAAACTGTGATGAGAAATTATGGGAATTATAGGAACAATGGGAAATGATGGGAAATAATGGGAAATTGTGATGAGAAATTATGGGAAATTATGATGGGAAATTATAGGAACGATGGGAAATTATGGGAATGATAGGAAATTATGGGAAATTACGATGAGAAATTATGGAATTATGGGAAATGATGATGAGAAATAATGGGAATTTATGGGAAATAATGGGAAATGATGGGAAATTACGACGGGAAACTGTGGGAATTATAGAAATTATGGGAATGACGGGAAATGGGGCAGGGGGTGGGGAAGGGTTTGCCCAGCTGCAGATGCCACACGGTGCCACCTTGTCCTGGCACGGGTCACTGTCCGTGCTCAAGGTGGGGACACGCACAGGGACCCCCCCCCCCCTGACCCTGCTGCTCCTTCCCCGCAGCTCCAGCGGGACCCCGGCAGCTCCTGGGGACGGAATTCCTGCCCCGCCACCGCTGCCAGGGCCACCCCCGATGGCACCGTCCCCTCCTGTGGTGCCACCCCCGATGGCACCGTCCCCTCCTGTGGTGCCACCCCCGCCTGGCGCTGCCATCCCCCCTCCGCCGCCCCTCCCCGGGCACCTGCTGCCCCCTCCCCCTGCGCACCTGGCCGTGCCCCCGGCGGAGCTCCCGCCCCCAGGTGAGTGCCCGGTGCCCGGGGGGTGACGGGGGCACGGGGGGCAGCGTGTGCCCCGTGCCCGCCCCTCCCGAGCCCCTCCATCCCTCACCCCCCACCCCCCCTGAGCCCCCTCGCCCCTTTTGGGGTTTCGCAGCCCCCGATGACCTCGAGCTGCCGCCGCCGCCCCCGGCTGAGCCTGACCTTGGGGACCTGGCCCTGCCACCGCCACCGGACGCAGAGGAGCCCCCGTGGGCCCCGCAGAGCTACCCGTAGGAGGTACAGGGGTCCTAAATCCTTGGAGAGGGGTACAGGGGGTCCCAAAACACCTCACAGAGGGTCCCAAACCCCTGTAGAAAAGTACAGAGGGTCCGAAATCCCTGGAGAGGGCTACAGAGGGTCCTAAACCCCTGGGGAGGGGCACAGGGGTCCCAAAACCCTTATAGAGGGTCCCAAATCCTTGAAGAGGGGTACAGAGGGTCCCAAACCCCTGGAGAAAGACACAGAGGGTCCCAAACCCCCTGGGTCCCCTGGCCCAGCCCCTGCCATGCCCAGCGGGGCCACAGCCGCCCCTGTCCCCGTCCCCAGATGTGGCTCCATGTGTGTGTGTCCCCATCCCACAGAGGTGGCTCCATGTCCGTGTCCCTGTCCCCAGATGTGGCTCCATGTCCGTGTCCCCGTCCCACAGTGATGTCCCCGCTCCCCGACCCGCGGCAGGAGGACACCGAGGACACCGAGCTGGGAACGCAGCAGGGAGGGAGCTGATCCTGGGGGCAGCTGTGCTGGATCCCTGTGCTGGATCCCTGTGCTGGATCCCAGCCCTGGATCCCAAACCTGGATCCCTGTGCTGGATCCCAGCCCTGGATCCCTGTGCTGGATCCCTGTGCTAGATCCCAGCCCTGGATCCTAGCCCTGGATCCCTGTGCTGGATCCCAGCCCTGGATCCCAGCCCTGGATCCCAGCCCTGGATCCCTGTGCTGGATCCCTGTGCTGGATCCCAGCCCTGGATCCCCGCTCTGGATCCCAGCCCTGGATCCCTGTGCTGGATCCCTGTGCTGGATCCCAGCCCTGGATCCCAGCCCTGGATCCCAGCCCTGGATCCCTGTGCTGGATCCCAGCCCTGGATCCCCGCTCTGGATCCCAGCCCTGGATCCCTGTGCTGGATCCCTGTGCTGGATCCCAGCCCTGGATCCCAGCCCTGGATCCCCGCTCTGGATCCCAGTCCTGGATGCCAACCCAGAACAGAACTCTGGGCGTGGAGCAGAGCTCGCTGTCCCCGTGCGCTCCAGGGATGCTCCAGCCCCAAAACCCCACCCCAAAGCATCCCCTGTCCATCCTCTGCTCATCCCCCAACCCCACCCTGCTGCTCCAGGGATGCTCCAGCTCCAAAATTCCACCCTTGTCCATCCCCTGCCCATCCCCTGCCCATGCCCTGCCCATGCCCTGTCCATCTCCTGCCCACCCTGCTGCTCCAGCGCCATCCCCCAATCTCCAGGGCCCGAGGATCAGGATCCAGAGCAGGATCCAGGGCAGGATCCAGGGCAGGAGCCCCCTCGGTGCAGCTCAGAGCTGTGTCCCAGCCAGGCTCCTGTCTGTCTGTCTGTCTGTCTGTCTGTCTGTCTGTCCGCAATACAGAGCCCTGTCCGTCTCACACGGATTCGCGTCTTTAATTCCATGGCTTTGAGTTCCGCACAGTCCGAGGGAGGAGGGACAAACTCGGGGCTGCTTTGGTCGATTCCTGCCGGGCTCGGGGGGAGCCAGGGCCGCCCTCGGGGGGCCGGTAAGGCTGTGGATAAACCCGGGATAAACCCGGGATAGATCCAGGAGGAGCCAACCCCTGGAGGTGGCCCCGCAGAGTGCAATTAGAAGGGGGAATTAATTAATTAATTAACACTGCGGTGGGGAGGGGGGGGGGGGGTTTGGCCTCTGGGGACCCGGCGCCAGAAGTGACCCCGGGGGGATTGGGGCACCTCGGGGGTGCCCAGGTCAGGGGGATTGACCCTCCCTGGGGCAGGAGGGGCCCCGCGGGATCAGGGATTTCCCAGGTGGAATTCCCAGTGGGATCAGGAGCACAGGGAGCAGGGATTTCCCATTCCCAATGGGATCAGGAGCACAGGGAGCAGGGATTTCCCAGCCAGAATTCCCAGTGGTATCAGGGATTTCCCAGATGGAATTCCCAGTGGGATCAGGGATTTCCCAGCCAGAATTCCCAGTGGGATCAGGGATTTCCCAGGTGGAATTCCCAGTGGGATCAGGGATTTCCCAGCCAGAATTCCCAGTGGGATCAGGGATTTCCCAGATGGAATTCCCAGTGGGATCAGGGATTTCCCAGCCAGAATTCCCAGTGGGATCAGGGATTTCCCAGATGGAATTCCCAGTGGGATCAGGAGCAGGAGAGGAGCCCAGGGAGCAGGGATTTCCCAGGTGGAATTCCCAGTGGGATCAGGAGCCCAGCAAGCAGCGATTTCCCATCCAGAATTCCCAGTGGGATCAGGAGCCCAGCAAGCAGCGATTTCCCATCCAGAATTCCCAGTGGGATCAGGAGCCCAGCGAGCAGGGATTTCCCAGCCGGAATTCCCAGTGGGATCAGAGCCCACGGCCAGGGCAGCATGGCAGGACCGGGGACGTGCCCAGCCCGCGGGGATCCCGGCTGCTGCAATTTAGGAATTCTCTTTCGAGGTCCAAAGGGGGAGGAAGCAAAACTGCACCAGAAATCCCCGTCAGGTGGGCAAAGGACGCAGGGGCCGGGCAGGGCCAGGGCCGGCAGAAAGTGCTTCACTGGCCGGGAATAGGGCCGGGAAAGGCGGGAGAACATCCCGGGAACGGAGCCAGGCCTGGAGCCGGGAAGGGCAGAGGAACATCCCGGGAATGGAGTTGGGAAAGGCGGGAGAACATCCCGGCAAAGGCAGAGGAGCACCCCAGGGACGGAGCCGGGCCCGGAGCCGCCCCCCTCGCTCAGCACTTCTTGCGCAGCAGCTCCTGCAGGTACCGCGCCACCTCCACCGCCGACTCCCAGGGCACCACGGCGGCCTGGAACGCGCCCGGCTGCTTCTCCTGGCTCTCCTGGATCAGCCTGTGCATGGGGTAGCCCTTCCTGGGGAACGCCACGTCCGCCGCCGTCAGTGTCGCGGCCGGGCAGAAGTCGTTGGCGCCGTCGCCCACGTAGAGCACGCGCTGGAACTCGACGTCCTCGCGCGCCCGCTCGGCCAGGTACTCGGCCAGGATCTTGGCCTTGCACATGTTGGCCGGGCAGCGCAGGCACTTGTGGCTGTGGTAGGGCCCCAGCGTGAGCACGCCGCGCCGGTCCGGGCCGGCCGGGTTGCTGAAGACCTTGCGGAAGAGCGAGCGGGCGCCGGCCGCGCGCAGCTTGGCCTCGACGCCGAAGGTGTTGGCGTCGGAGATGAGCACGATCTCGAAGAGCTCCTGGTGCTTGGAGAGCAGCTGGAAGAGCTCGGCCACGCCCGGCGCCAGCGGGATGCGCTCGTAGGCGGCGCGCAGCTCGGCGGGGCGCACGCCCTGCTCGCCCAGGAAGGCCAGCACGCGCCGCATGTGCTCGTTGTAGCCGCCGGCCGCGGGGCTCTGCCGCAGCCGCTCCGGCAGCGCCCGGCCCCGCACCACCGAGTCGTCGCTGTTCTCGTCCACGATGGTCTCGTCGAAGTCAAACACCAGCAGGAAACGCGGCGCGCGCGGGCCGGCCGTGCCCGCGCCCTGCGCGGGGACGGACAGACGGACAGCGGGGTCAGTGGGGGGTGGCAGGGACAGACAGACAGACAGACAGACAGACAGCCGTGTCATTGGGGTGTGGGACGGACAGACGGACAGTGGTGTCAGTGGGGTGTGGGATAGAGAGACAGCGGTGTCGTTGGGGAGTGGGATGGACAGACAGACACTGGTGTCGTTGGGGAGTGGGATGGACAGACAGACAGACAGACAGCGGTGTAAGTGGGGTGTGGGATGGACAGAATCCAGTGTCATTGGGGTGTGGGACAGACAGACGGACAGTGGTGTTATTGGGGAGTGGGATGGACAGAGAGACCCCGGTATCATTGGGGTGTGGGATGGACAGACAGACAGACAGACCCAGGTGTTACTGGGGTGTGGGACAGACAGACAGACAGCGGTGTTATTAGGGGGTGGGATGGACAGAATCCAGTGTCATTGGGGTGTGGGACAGACAGACAGACAGCGGTGTTATTAGGGGGTGGGATGGACAGAATCCAGTGTCATTGGGGTGTGGGACAGACAGACAGACAGCGGTGTTATTAGGGGGTGGGATGGACAGAATCCAGTGTCATTGGGGTGTGGGACAGACAGATGGACAGCGGTGTCATTGGGGTGTGGGACGGACAGACACAGCCATGTCATTGTGGGGTGGGATGGACAGAATCCAGTGTCATTAGGGTGTGGGACAGACAGACAGACAGACAGACAGTGGTGTTATTGGCATGTGGGACGGACAGACAGACAGACCCCGGTGCCATTGGGGTGCGGGACAGACAGACCCCGCTGTCACTGGCTCTTGTTGTCACCGTCCGTTCCCAGTCCCTGCCAGGCAGGACAAACCCCGCTGGCCCCACCCGAGCCCGGGCCGGCCCGGGTTAATCCCGTGCCAGCCCGGCCCCGAGGCCTCATCCCGCCCATAACGGGATCGGCCCGGGGCTAATCCGGGCCCGGGGGCACCGCGGTCACTGTGCCGGGCGGGGACAGCGCGCCCGGATCTGCCAATTCCGGCCTGGGAAAAGCTCCGGGATCAGCCGGGGACACCCGGGCTGGGACAGGGGGGGACAGAGGGGACACCTGGCGGGGACAGCACAGCCCGGTCCTCCTGTGCCACCTCTGGGACACGGGGGGACACCTGGGCACACCTGGGCTGGGACAGAGGGACAGGGGGGACAGAGGGACAGCCCAGCCTGGTCCTGTGCCACCTCTGGGACAGGGGTGACAGCCCAGGGGGTCCAGGCGGGATTTTAGGGACCATTCCTCCCCCAGAGGGTGGCACAAGCCGGGGAATGTTCCTGTTCCCAAGGGGTGCCCGGGGTGGATTTTGGGGTGTCCAGCAGGGCTGGGCCATCCTGGGGCCCCCTTCCGGCTCAGGGCTTTCCATGAACCTCAAACCAGCCCGGCCTGGCACCCCCCCCGCCCCCCTCAGCCCTTCCCGGCCGCTCCAGGCTGGAATTCCGGAATTGTGGAATTTGGGGAGCCCCCGAGGTGGCAGCGGTGGCCCGGGCACGGCGGCACTGACCTTAAACAGGCATGGCAGCCCCACGGCCTGGCAGCACCTCCTCATGCTGGCACCATCCCGGGCCCAGGGCTGCGGGAAAGAGGGAAATCCGTCAACCCCCGGAAATTCCGTCAATCCCGGGCAATTCCGTCAATCCCGGGAAATTCCGTCAATCCCAGGGAATTCCGTCACTCGCAGGGAATTCCACCAATCCCGGGCAATTCCCGGGGTATCCCCGAGCCCCGGAGCTTCTGCTCCAGGCTGGGGGAACGAGGGGAGCGTAAAAACCTCTGAGAACTCCTGATTACCCCTGAGGGCAGCGAGGGAACGGCAGGGAAATAAAAAATAAAAATAAAAATGAAAATAAAAATGAAAATAAAAATAAAAATGAAAATAAAAATAAAAATGAAAATAAAAATAAAAATAAAAATCGGGAAGAGAAAAACGGCAGAAAAGGGAAGGGAAGGGAAGGGAAGGGAAGGGAAGGGAAGGAAAGGAAAGGAAAGGAAAGGAAAGGAAAGGAAAGGAAAGGAAAGGAAAGGAAAGGAAAGGAAAGGAAAGGAAAGGGATTTTCTCCCAGGGTGATTCCTAAACGCAGAAATTCTCCAGGAATGAAACCAAAGCAGAATTCTGCCGACCTCTGGTGGTCCCCGGCGAGGGGAACCCTCCCCAAAATTCGCTTTGCGGCTGGAAACCGGGGAATTGCCGGGCCGGGAGGATCGCGGGGCTCAGGGGAAGGTGATTCGTGGGCATTGCGCTGGAGCCCAGCCCGCTCCCGGCTATTTTGGGCACAAACTCCATCCGTGTCTCGGCTGCAATAGAAACCCTGCGGCACCTGGCACAGGGAAACGGAGCCCGGGCTGGAAATTGTGGAAAAATCCCTTTTTTTGTGAGGCCTGGAACCGCACGCTGCGTGTTTATGTGCTAAAAAAAGCCCATCAGAACTGCAGGGTTTATTTACAGGCAGGATCTGGAGCCAAAAAACCACCACAGCCGGACTGGGAGAGGCTTCCAAAGGCAAAAAAAAAAAAAAAATGGGATTGAACAGGAAAGAGGAACTGGAATTTTGGTCACTGCTTGGTCACGGCCAGCAGAGAGGAAATAATTGGGGATGAAGGCTCAGGGAGGGTCTGTGGTGCTGGGAGGGAGGGACAGAGCCCTGGGGACACTGGGGACATTGGGGTGGGCACGGGGAGTGAAACTGCCCCAAAAAAACCTCTGGGCCCGAGGGATTGGGTAAAGTTCCAGGGGCAGGAGCTCGGAGCATCTCCAGATGCGGCTGCAGGAGCTGCTCCCCCAAAAACGGCCCCAAAACCAGCCCCAAACCTGTCCCAAAACAGTGCCAAATGTGTCCCAAAATCAGCCCCAAACCTGTCCCAAAACAGCCCCAAACCTGTCCCAAACCCGGCCCAAAACCAGCCTCAAACCTGTCCCAAAACCAGCCCCAAACCTGTCCCAAAACCGCCCCAAACCTGTCCCAAAACCGCCCCAAACCTGTCCCAAACCCGGCCCAAAACCTGTCCCAAACCTGTCCCAAAACCGCCCCAAAACCAGCCCCAAACCCGGCCCAAAACCAGCCCCAAATGTGTCCCCAAAACAGTGCCAAAGCTGTCTCCAAAATAGCCCCAAACCTTTCCCAAAACCACCCCAAAACCGGCCCCAAACTCGCCCCAAAAACGGCCGCAAACCCGTCCCAAACCTGCCCCAAAACCGGCTCCAAACCCGCCCCAAAACTGTCCCAAAACCACCCCAAAACCGGCCCCAAACCTGTGCCAAACTCAGGATAAATGGGATCAAAACAGGCCCCAGAACCGGAGCCAGGATTGTTTGGGGACTGAGTTCCCGTGGGTTATTTCGGGATTGAAATCCTCTGAGGGCTGGGGGGGGGGGGGCTCCGAGCATCCCAAAAAACCCCAAAATCCGCGGGATACGGGCGAGGAAATCCCACCCCAACAAAGCAGAGCTCAGCCAGGGGTCTGCAATTCCCAACTGCGATGGGGCAGAAGGGAGAGAAATCCCGGTGGGAGAAAATCCCGAATTTTGGTGCGGGAAGGGAAATCCTGGCGGGAGAAAATCCCGAATTTTGGTGCGGGATTGGGGAGAGGGAAAGGAAATCCCAGCAGGAGAAAATCCCAGATTTTGGTGCGGAAAGGGAAATCCCGGCAGGAGAAAACCCCAGATTTCGGTGCGGGATGAAGCAAAGGGAAGGGAATTCCCGGAGGGAGCCGATCCCAGATTTTGGTGCGGGAAGGGAAATTCCGGAGGGAGAAAATCCCGAATTTGGGTGCGGGATGGGGCAGCCGCGAGCGCCTTCCCGCAGATTAAAGGGGCTCCCCTGGGAAGCGAATCAGCCGCGTTTCCCCCAAAAAAGCGGAGCCGGAGGGACGGGAAACAAACGGGGAAATGGGAAAACGGCTCAGGGATCGAGGTTTCACCTCCCCGAGCTCGGGCTGCGGGTGGGAAAGCGCCGGGAAATGCCGGGATCGTTTCCCGGTGCGGTTCGCGCCGGGATACCGGGAGAATTCTGTGCCCGTGCCCGCTCCGGAGGTTTTTAACCCCAAATTTTGGTGCGCGGAACGTTCGCGTTTTTACCGAACTCCGCCTCCAGCTCCGGGGCGGAATTCCCGGGAAGCCGAGCGGGGCGAGAACCGGGACCGGGAAAGGATCGCGCCGCCGCTGGAATTAAACCCGAAAGAGCAGGAAATGCGGGAATTAACGGCAATTAACGGGAATTCCCGGTAAGGAGCGCTCGGTGCGGGTCCCGCCAGCCCCGGGTGCCCCCCGAATTCCCGGGCTCCGGGTCACCTCGGGTAACGGGGCTGCTCCGGCTTCACCGGGTTTGTTTTTGCTGCCGGGAATTGCGGCGTTACCGCAGCCCCGGTTCGGCCCCGAACGCGGCGGTTCGGGGGATCCAGCCCCGGTCCCGGATCCCGCCGGGGATCCCCGGTGCCACCGGGCTGGCAGCGGCTCCGGTACCGGCACGGCCCCTCCCCGAGCTCCGCGGCTCCTCCCGGTACCGGCGGGGCTGAATCGCGGCCGCTCCGTGCCCCGGTGGCACCTCCCGGTACCGGCAGCAGCCGCAGCGGTACCGGCAGGGTCCAACCGGGTGGGGACCGCCCCGGTACCGGCACCATCAGCCCCAGTCACGGCAGGGTCCAACCGAAACAGGACCCCCTGTACCGGCAGGAGCCGCCCCGGTACCGGCAGGTCCAACGTTACCGGCACCCCCCGGTACCGGCACCATCCTCTCGGCTCCCGGCACGATTCTGCCGGGTGGGGACTCCCGGTACCGGCACCATCTCATCCCGGCAGGGTCCAGCCGGGGGGACACCCGCCGGTACCGGCAGCAGCCGTTGCGGATCCGGCATCTCCCGGTACCGCCGCGGTGCCGCCTCTCGCTCCTTACCGGGTCGGAACCTGCCGGGAGCGCCCGGCCCGCCCCGGTGCCGGAGAGTGCGGGGACGGCGCGGGGGCAGCCCGGGCTCGGGGCCGCTCCGGGGCCGCTCCGGGGCCGGTTCGGGGCCGGTGCCGCCGCCGGCGCTGCCGCGAGCGCGGCCCCTTTAAAGCGACGCCACCGAGGCCGCGCGGAGCCGCCGCAGTGCGCCGACGTCATCGCCCGCGCGGCCAATGGCGGCACAGCTTCCCCGCCGCTGAGGGGCGGGGCCAGCGCAGGCCGCGCCCCCTTTCCGAGGGGCGGGGGGAGCTGCCCAAAGTTGCCAAATCGGGAAAAAGCGACAAAAACCGCGGTGCCCCCCCCGGGCCCGCTCCGAGCTTGTGTAACCCGGCCCGTCTGGGGGGGAGGGAGGTTCTGTCCCCAAAACCAAGCGCGGCGCCGAGTGAGAAAAACGCCCGAATTGTCCCCAAAATAGCGGCGGGCACGGGCGGGGCCCCCCGGTAATTGCGGGGACCGGGCCGGGAATTGCAGGGTGGCGGTGCCAGGGCTGCCCCGCCCGGGCCCCGGCGCTATCGGGGGGCCGCAGGAGCCGCCGAGATAAAACAAACACCGAAAACACCAAAAACAGCAAAAAAACACCAAAAATACCGGGGCGGCGCCCTCGGGACACCGGGACCGCCCGGGACCGCCCGGGACAGCCAAACCCGGCGGGCAGCGCTCGGCGCTTCGGGTGGTTGTTAATTAAAAGCGTCCCGGAATGCGGAGGCGCGGCCGGGATTCCGGCGGCCGGGAGGAGCCGCGGCCGTGCCGCGCTGTCCCGAGCCCCAGAGTCGGGATTTTTGCCGCTTTTGGTGAATTTGTGTCGCAGAGCGGAGCTCGGGGCCAGCCCGGGACCTGCCCCGGGTCCCTCCGGGCCGGGGGTGCCGATCCTGCCCCGGCGGCGCCTCCGGACAACGCCGGGGAATCCCTGCAGGGAATCGGGGAATGCTGTGAGGAGATCCTGTAGGGAATCCTGTCAGGGAATTCCATCGGGGAATGAGGGAATCCTGTCAGGGAATCGGGGAATGCTGTGAGGAGATCATTGCAGGGAATCCTGTCAGGGAATTCTGTCAGGGAATCCTGTCAGGGAATCCTGATAGGGAATCATTGCAGGGAATCCTGTCAGGGAATCAGGGAATTCTGTGAGAAGATCCTGTCGGGAATTCTGTCAGGGAATCCTGTGAGGGAATCATTGCAGGGAATCCCGTCAGGGAATCAGGGAATTCTGTGAGAAGATCCTGTCGGGAATTCTGTCAGGCAATCCTGTGAGGGAATCATTGCAGGGAATCCTGTCAGGGAATTCTGTGAGGGAATTCTTTTAGGGAATTCTGTCAGGGAGTCAGGGAATTCTGTCAGGGAATTCTGTGAGGGAATTCTTTTAGGGAATTCTGTCAGGGAGTCAGGGAATCCTGTCAGGGAATTCTTTCAGGGAATCATTGCAGGGAATCCTGTCAGGGAATCAGGGAATCCCGTCAGGGAATTCTTTTAGGGAATTCTGTTAGGGAATTCTGACAGGGAATCGTGTTAGGGAATTCCTGTTAGGGAATCCTGTCGGGGAATCCTTCCAGGCAGACATTGCAGGGAATGCTGTCGGGAATTCCTTTCGGGATTCCTTTCCCCCTCCCCAGCCCGGCACTCTCCGGCTCCCCCCGGACATTTCCCCGCCCTGGGGCCGCTCCGAGCGGGACAATCCAAGGGCGGGGGGGGAATTGCCCGGGGGCTCCTGCGGCTTCCACCGGGACCCAGCGGGGCAAAACCATCCCGGGATCCCCCCGAACCCACCCCGGGATTATTCTGGACCCATATCGGGATTATCCCGGATCCATCCCAGACCCATCCTGGCATTACTCCGGATCCATCCCGGACCCCTCCCAGACCCATCCCGGACCCATCCCGGGCTCATCCCGGACCCCTCCCGGGATTATCTCGGATCCATCCGGGACCACCCCGAGATTACCCCCGATCCATCCCGGACCCATCCCGGGCTCATCCCGGACCCATCCCGGGATTTTCCTGGATCCATCCCAGACCCATCCGGGCACCCACGGGAGCCGTTCCCAGTCCCGGGACAGAAACCGGAGCCGTTCCCATCCCGGGACAGAAACCGGAGCCGTTCCCAGTCCCGGGACAGAAACCGGAGCCGTTCCCATCCCGGGACAGAAACCGGAGCCGTTCCCATCCGGGACAGAAACCGGAGCCGTTCCCAGCCCCGCTGGCTCCAGGTTTGTCCCGGATTTTGGGATCGCGGCAGCTCCGCCGCCCTCTCCCGGCTCCGCCTCCCCAAAACGTGGCTCGGGTTAAATCCCAAATTCTGGGTTAAATCCCAAATTCTCGGGTTAAATCCCAAATTCTAGGGAAGAAATTCCCAGGAAAAGTGTGCAGCTTTGGGGGTGCCGATCCCGGGCTTCTCCGAGGAGTAAAATGGGAAAAGCAGCAAAATAAAATGGGAAAAAAGCAAAATAAATGGAAAAAAAAAAAAAAAAAGAAAAATAAACGGGGACAATAAGGCAAAGTAAAGTGGGAAAATAAAGCAAAATAAAATATGGGGAAAGCAAAATAAAATGGGGAAAAGGAAAATAAAACGGGGGAAAAAGCAGCAAAATAAAATAGGAGAAGAAAGCAAAATGAAGCAGAAAATAAAGCAGAATTGACAGGTGCAGAAGGGAGGGAACACCCGGACAAACCCCTTGGAGTTTCCCATCCCTGTGGAATTCCGTGTGTGCAGCAAAAATGGAAAATGGAAGGATGAAATGGAATTTAATTTTTGGAAATTAAATTAAAATTTTTGGAAATTAAATCCATTTCCAAAAATGGAAATCGAAGGATTAAAAAACCACAACAAACCCCGGCCTCGAATTTCCTGCCCTTTAAACCAAATTTTCCCCGTTTTCCCGCATTTTTTATTCTTTGGCAAGGATCCCAGCATCTCACAGACCGGCAAGAGGGGTTGGAATTTTTAATCTTCTTCCACAGAAAGGAAGTTCATAAATTCTCAGAAAGATCCGATACAGAGCGGAGCTGAAGAGCAGGAAAAAAAGGAAAAAAAAAACCATCCCAGATCCTGGAATCCTTGGAAGAGCGGCCTGGAACGCTGGAGGATTTATTGAGGAGGGAAAAATGGCTTTGGAAAACCTGGAACAGAGATTATTGATCGCTCATTCTGGGGGTTTTCAGCGTTTAAAAATCGGATTATTCCGGATTATCCTGAGCAGGGAATTGCGGCACCGCGGGAGGGGAAATGCAGAGAATTCCAGGGAATTTCAGCCTTGGGAATTCAGGATTGGAATTTTTTCCTGCCGGGGGGGGTGGGGGTGGGGATATTTAAATTCCTCCGGGATTTAAATATCCTGGAGGAAATGGTTTAAAAAAAATGGCATTTCTTTCATCAGGAGGGGCTTTCGGCTCAGCCAAAAACGAGGGGTTTGGGCCCAAAACGGCCCCGAAATTTCCGATGTTATGGAAAACCCAACCCAGCTTTGTCCTGGGGGGAGAGTTCCGCCTTTCCTGGCCGAAAATGAATCCCAAAATCCACGAGCAGGGCAGAGCTCCCTGTGGGAACCCCGGGTTTGGTGGGATCGGGGTGGGAAAGTGGCACAAAAAGGAGAAATTCCCAAGAATTTCCTAGGAATTCCCAGGAATTCGGGGTTTGCTGGGCCCTGCTCTGGCAGGGGGAGAGAATTCCTGGATCCAGGGGGAGAAAACCCAACCTGAGGGTCCCGAGGGACCCCAGCCCTCGGAATGGGGCAATTCCCATGGGAGCGGCTCCAGCTCCCCACGCTGGACCTGGGTTTGCCCAAAATCCCCAATTCTGGCCCCAAAAACCATCCTGGATTCCTGGGATGGAGCTGCCCGGGAACAGCCGGGGCTGTGGGACAGCTCCATCCCAAAATGTCCCAAAAAAACGGGCAGGAATTGCGGGAATTCTGGAAATTCCCTGTCCCTGATCCCACTGCATTCCCCTCTCCAGAAATTCCCAAATTTCCTGAATTCCCTGATCCCACTGCATTCCCCTCTCCAGAAATTCCCAAATTTCCTGAATTCCCTGATCCCACTGCATTCCTCCCTCAGGAATTCCAGAAATTCCAGAATTCCTTGATCCACTGCATTCCTCTTTATAGGAATTCCCAAATTTCCCGAATTCCCTGATCCCACTGCATTCCCCTTCCAGGAATTCCCAAATTTCTTGATCTTACGGCATTCCCCTCTCAGGAATTCCCAAATTTCCTGAATTCCCTGATCCCACTGCATTCCTCTCTCAGGAATTCCAGAAATTCCCGAATTCCCTGATCCCACTGCATTCCTCTCTATAGGAATTCCCAAATTTCCTGAATTCCCTGATCCCACTGCATTCCCCTCAGGAATCCCAGGAATTCCCGAAATCCGGAGATTCATCGGAGCCTTCGCCTCCCCCTGCTGGCAGATCCCGCTCTGTCCCAGACCTCCCATTCCCAAATTTCCCCAATTTGCAGGACAGAATTTCCCTTTTTCCCTGGATCTCCCATTCCCAAATTTCCCCAATTTGCAGGACAGAATCTCCCTTTTTCCCCGGATCTCCCATTCCCAAATTTCCCCAATTTTCAGGACAGAATCTCTCTTTTTTCCTGAACCTCCCATTCCCAAATTTCCCCAATTCGCAGGCAAAATCTCCCTTTTTTCCTGAACCTCCCATTCCCAAATTTCCCCAATTTTCAGGACAGAATCCCCCTCCCAATCCAATTCCCGTCCATCCAATCCTGGATCCGCATCCAGCAGGAACATCTGACCCCGACAGCTGAAGAGAAAACGGGGAAAAGGGAAAGAAAATTCAAAAAACCCAAACAAAAATAACCCCAAAAAAGCCCTAAAAAAATAAATTAAATCCAGAAATTTCCACAGGATTTTGGGGTGAATTTTCCAGAGACCTCTGGGGTTTTTTTTTCTCCTCTCTTCTCCGAAGCACCTTGGAGTCCTGGGGTTGGGGAATTTGGGAAAAGCATCTTTGAGGAATCACATTGGGGCTGATTATAAAAATTTCTCTATTGTACAACAGAGGTGCAGCTACACTGAAAAAAATTACACCGTTTATGGAAATACAATTATTATTATTATTATTATCATCATCATCATCAATTTTTTTTTTTTTTGGCTTTTTTTTTTGTTTTAGAAACAGACTCTACTAAATAGGATCTATACAAAAAACCTCTAAAATAATTTCTGTAGTAAAATAAAGAAGTGTGTTAGGAGAGCTACACAAAAACAACGGGAGGGGGGAGGGGATATGATTTTTTTTTTTTTTTTTTTTTTTTTGCTTTTTTCCTTCTTTTTTTTTGCTTTTCTGGGTGAACGCTCCAAGCTCGGGGTGCTGAAAGGAATCATTACGTACACAGTGATCATTAATGCTCTGTATTAATTAACTCACAGCCTTTCCCATTAGTACAAAGGGCCCGGGCCCGCCTCCTCTTTGAGGAGAGGGCCGGGATATAAAAGCCAAGCAAACCTCGTCAGCTGATATGAAATTAGAAAATCCCACCGGGCTCGGCGGCCGGCGTTTAGAAAAGTCACCGGGAAAACACAAATTGGGCATTTCAGTCCTGGGGGGTCCTCGAGAGGGGGGACCTGGGGGGCAAAAAGGGGGCAGAGCTGGGCCAGGAGAGGGGTGGGAGGTGGGAGGGGGTCCCAGGGCCGGAATGGATCCCGGAGCTGGAACCCAGAGCCGGAATGGATCCCAGAGCTGGAACACAGAGCCAGAATGGATCCCGGAGCTGGAACCCAGGGCCGGAATGGATCCCGGAGCTGGAACACAGAGCCAGAATGGATCCCGGAGCTGGAACCCAGAGTCAGAATGGATCCTGGAGCTGGAACACAGAGCCAGAATGGATCCTGGAGCTGGAACCCAGAGCCGGAATGGATCCCAGATCCCAGAGCCGGAACGGATCCCAGAGCTGGATCCCAGAGCCAGAATGGATCCAGAGCTGGAACACAGATCCCAGATCCAGAATGGATCCCAGAGCTGGAACCCAGAGCCGGAATGGATCCCAGATCCCAGAGCAGGAATGGATCCCGGAGCAGGAATGGATCCCAGAGCTGGAACCCAGATCCAGAATGGATCCCAGATCCCAGAGCAGGAATGGATCCCAGAGCTGGATCCCAGAGCCGGAATGGATCCCAGATCCCAGAGCCGGAATGGATCCCAGAGCCGGAATGGATCCCGGAGCTGGATCCCAGATCCCAGACCCAGATTGGATCCCAGAGCCAGATTGGAGCCCAAAGCTGGAACCCAGATCCCAGAGCCAGATTGGATCTCAAACCCAGACCGGATCCCAGAGTTGGATCCTGAATCCCAGAGCCAGATCCCAGAACTGGATCCAAGACCCAGATCCTGGATCCCAGAGCCGGAATGGAACGCAGAGCTGGAACCCAGATCCCAGAGCCCGACTGGATACCAGAGCCAGAATGGATCCCAGAGCTGGAACCTGAATCCCAGACCCAGATTGGATCCCAGATCCCAGAGCTGGATCCCAGACCCAGATTGGATCGCAAAGCTGGGTCCTGGATCCCAAATCCGGATCCCAAGCATGGTATGGGGTTGCAGAAGGGCAGATCCCATCCTGGATCCCGGATCCCAAGCCCAGATCCCATCCTGGATCCCGGATCCCAGGCCCAGATCCCATCCTGGATCCCGGATCCCAGGCCCAGGTCCCATCCTGGATCCCGGATCCCAGGCCCAGATCCCATCCTGGATCCCAGGCCCAGATCCCATCCTGGATCCCGGATCCCAAGCCCAGATCCCAATCCCGGATCCCAGGCCCAGATCCCATCCTGGATTCTGGATCCCAGACCCAGATCCCATCCTGGATCCCGGATCCCAGGCCCAGATCCCAGATCCAGATCCCAATCCCGGATCCCAGGCCCAGGTCCCATCCTGGATCCCGGATCCCAGATCCAGATCCCAATCCCGGATCCCAGACCCAGGTCCCATCCTGGATCCCGGATCCCAGATCCAGATCCCAATCCCGGATCCCAGACCCAGATCCCATCCTGGATCCCAGGCCCAGGTCCCATCCTGGATCCCAGACCCACACCCCAGTCCTGATCCCACCCCGTGTCCGTGTGGCTGCGCCAGCCCGGCCTCGTCCAGGTGTGCCCGTGGTGGTTCCGGGGCTCCGTCCCACCCCAGATCCCAAACCCTGACCCCAAGCACGAAGTGGGGCGGCAGGAGAGCAGATCCAGGATCCCAAACCTGGACCCCAGGTCCCTGAGCCCAGCCCGTGTCCGTGTGGCTGTGCCAGGCTGGGCTCACCCAGGTGCCACAGGAAGCCCTTGCTGTGGTTCAGGGTCTCGATGCCATCCCAGAGCCCAAACCTGGACCCCAGAGCCCGACCCCGCGCCAGCCCCTGATGCCAGAGGGGCTGTGCCAGGCTGGCCTTGTCCAGGTGCTGCAGGAAGCCGTGCCCACGGCCATGCCAGTCCAATCCCATCCCAGATCCCATCCCAGATCCCAAACCTGGATCCCAGGCGCCAGCTGTTGTCAGTGTGGCGGTGCCAGGCTGGTCTCATCCAGGTGCTACAGGAAGCCGTGCCCAAGTCCAATCCCATGCCAGATCCCAAACCTGGATCGCAGCTCCCACACCTGGATCCCAGCTCCCCAACCTGGGTGCCAGCTCCCATTCTGGGTGCCAGCTCCCACACCTGGGTGCCAGCTCCCATTCTGGGTGCCAGCTCCCACACCTGGGTGCCAGCTCCCATTCTGGGTGCCAGCTCCCCAACCTGGGTGCCAGCTCCCCAACCTGGGTGCCAGCTCCCATTCTGGGTGCCAGCTCCCCAACCTGGGTGCCAGCTCCCATTCTGGGTGCCAGCTCTCACACCTGGGTGCCAGCTCCCCAACCTGGGTGCCAGCTCCCATTCTGGGTGCCAGCTCCCACACCTGGATGCCAGCTCTCACACCTGGGTGCCAGCTCCCATTCTGGGTGCCAGCTCCCACACCTGGGTGCCAGCTGGTGTCAGCGCAGCTGTGCCAGGCTGGTCCTGTCCAGGCACCACAGGAAGCCATGCCCATGACCACGGTGGTCCAATTTCATGCCTGATCCAATCCCAGACCCCATCCCAGCTCCCAAACCTGGATCTCAGGTGCCAGCCGCTGTCAGTGCGGCTGTCCCGGGCTGCCCTCACCCAGGTGCCGCAGGAAGCCGTGCCCACGCCCGTGCCCGTGCTCACAGCAGCTCAATCCCCTCCCAGCTCCCCTCCCAGCTCCCAAACCTGGATGCCAGGTGCCAGGTGCCGGGCGGCGTCAGTGCGGCTGCGCGGGGCCGCCCTTGTCCAGGTGCCGCAGGAACCCGTCCCCGCCGTGCCCGTGCCCGTGCCCGTGCCCGTGGCCGTGCCCGCGGTGGTTCAGCGGCTCGCTCTTGAACAGGGCGGGCGGCGGCGGCAGGTGCGGCACGGGGGGCACGGGCAGGTGCTGCTGCTGCTGCTGCTGCTGCCCGTGGTGGTGCCCGTGGTGGTGCCCGTGCGGCGGCAGCGCCAGCGCCCCGTAGGGGTGCGGCACGGGGCGCGGCGGCGCCGCCGGGCCCAGCGCCAGCCCCAGCGCGGCGCCCGCGGCCGGAGGGGCCGGGCAGGGCGCGGGCAGCGCCGCGGCGGCGCCGGCGGGGCCGGGGCTGGTGCCGGGGCTGGTGACGCGGAAACATTTCTCCTTGTGCGCCTTGAGCATGTTGGAGAAGCGGAAGCGCTGCCCGCACACGTCGCACGGGTACGGCTTCTCGCCCGTGTGCGTGCGCCGGTGCCGCTTCATGTTGGGCCGGCTCGTGAAGCTCTTGCCGCAGATCTCGCAGATGAACGGCTTCTCTCCTGCCGGGGACACGCGGGGACGGGGGGTCAGGGATCCTGGGAACCCCCCTGGGACATGGAGGGACCCCTGAAAAAATCACCTCAGACCTGGGAGAACCTCCCTGAGCCATGGAGAACCACCTGGGATAATCACCTGAGCCATGGAGAACCTTCCGAGCTATGGAGAACCCCCTGAGCCATGGAGAACCACGGGAAAAATCACCTGAGCCATGGAGAACCCCCTGAGCCATGGAGAACCCCCTGAGCCATGGAGAGTCCCCTGGGAAAATCACCTGAGCCATGGAGAACCCTCTGAAAAAATCACCTCAGACCTGGGAGAACCCCTGAGCCATGGAGAACCACTGGAAAAATCACCTGAGCCATGGAAAACACACTGGAGAAGTCCCCTGATCCATGGAGAACCCCTGAGCCATGGAGAACCACCTGGGAAAATCACCTGAGCTCTGGGAAAATCACCTGAGCCATGGGAGAACCACCCTGAGCCATGGAGAACCACTGGAAAAATCACCTGAGCCATGGAGAACCCCCTGAGAAAATCACCTGAGCCACGGAGAACACCCTGGAAAAATCACCTGATCCATGGAGAACCCCTGAGCCATGGAGAACCACCTGGGAAAAACACCTGAGCCATGGGAGAACCCCCTGAGACTTAGAGAACCCCGTGAAAATATCACCTGATCCATGGAGAACCCCCAGAGCTATGGGGAATCCTGGAAAAATCACCTGAGCCCTGGGAAAGACCACTGCCTTTGGGGATCAATGGAGGTTTAGGAAATTTTGGCCCGCCTCAGGGTTTGGAGCCAAAGGCTCTGAAATCCTGGCTCAGTCTGGGTTTAGGGCTAAAAGGCTCTGAAATCCTGGCTCAGTTCAGGTTTAGGGCTAAAAGGCTCTGAAATCCTGGCTCAGTTCGGGTTTAGGGCTAAAGGCTCTGAAATCCTGGCTCAGTTCAGGTTTAGGGCTAAAAGGCTCTGAAATCCTGGCTCAGTTCGGGTTTAGGGCCAAAAGGCTCTGAAATCCTGGCTCAGTTTGGGTTTAGGGCTAAAAGGCTCTGAAATCCTGGCTCAGTTCAGGTTTAGGGCTAAAAGGCTCTGAAATCCTGGCTCAGTCTGGGTTTAGGGCTAAAAGGCTCTGAAATCCTGGCTCAGTTCGGGTTTAGGGCTAAAAGGCTCTGAAATCCTGGCTCAGTTCGGGTTTAGGGCTAAAAGGCTCTGAAATCCTGGCTCAGTTCAGGTTTAGGGCTAAAAGGCTCTGAAATCCTGGCTCAGTCTGGGTTTAGGGCTAAAAGGCTCTGAAATCCTGGCTCAGTTCAGGTTTAGGGCTAAAAGGCTCTGAAATCCTGGCTCAGTTTGGGTTTAGGGCTAAAAGGCTCTGAAATCCTGGCTCAGTCTGGGTTTAGGGCTAAAAGGCTCTGAAATCCTGGCTCAGTTCAGGTTTAGGGCTAAAAGGCTCTGAAATCCTGGCTCAGTCTGGGTTTAGGGCTAAAAGGCTCTGAAATCCTGGCTTAGTCTGGGTTTAGGGCTAAAAGGCTCTGAAATCCTGGCTCAGTCTGGGTTTAGGGCTAAAAGGCTCTGAAATCCTGGCTCAGTCTGGGTTTGGGGCCAAAAGGCTCTGAAATCCTGGCTCAGTTCAGGGTTTGGGGCCAAAAGGGTCTGAAATCCTGGCTCAGTTTGGGTTTAGGGCTAAAAGGCTCTGAAATCCTGGCTCAGTTTGGGTTTAGGGCTAAAAGGCTCTGAAATCCTGGCTCAGTCTGGGTTTAGGGTTAAAAGGCTCTGAAATCCTGGCTCAGTTCGGGTTTAGGGCTAAAAGGCTCTGAAATCCTGGCTCAGTTCAGGTTTAGGGCTAAAAGGCTCTGAAATCCTGGCTCAGTTCAGGTTTAGGGCTAAAAGGCTCTGAAATCCTGGCTCAGTTCAGGTTTAGGGCTAAAAGGCTCTGAAATCCTGGCTCAGTTCAGGTTTAGGGCTAAAAGGCTCTGAAATCCTGGCTCAGTCTGGGTTTAGGGCTAAAAGGCTCTGAAATCCTGGCTCAGTCTGGGTTTAGGGCTAAAAGGCTCTGAAATCCTGGCTCAGTCTGGGTTTGGGGCCAAAAGGCTCTGAAATCCTGGCTCAGTTCGGGTTTAGGGCTAAAAGGCTCTGAAATCCTGGCTCAGTTCAGGTTTAGGGCTAAAAGGCTCTGAAATCCTGGCTCAGTTCGGGTTTAGGGCTAAAAGGCTCTGAAGTCCTGGCTCAGTTTGGGTTTAGGGCTAAAAGGCTCTGAAATCCTGGCTCAGTTCAGGTTTGGGGCCAAAAGGCTCTGAAATCCTGGCTCAGTTCAGGATTAGGGCTAAAAGGCTCTGAAATCCTGGCTCAGTTCGGGTTTAGGGCTAAAAGGCTCTGAAATCCTGGCTCAGTCTGGGTTTGGGGCCAAAAGGCTCTGAAATCCTGGCTCAGTCAGGGTTTAGGGCTAAAAGGCTCTGAAATCCTGGCTCAGTCAGGGTTTAGGGCTAAAAGGCTCTGAAATCCTGGCTCAGTTCGGGTTTAGGGCTAAAAGGCTCTGAAATCCTGGCTCGGTTCGGGTTTAGGGCTAAAAGGCTCTGAAATCCTGGCTCAGTTCAGGTTTAGGGCTAAAAGGCTCTGAAGTCCTGGCTCAGTTCAGGTTTAGGGCTAAAAGGCTCTGAAATCCTGGCTCAGTTTGGGTTTGGGGCCAAAAGGCTCTGAAATCCTGGCTCAGTTCAGGTTAAGGGCTAAAAGGCTCTGAAGTCCTGGCTCAGTTCAGGTTAAGGGCTAAAAGGCTCTGAAATCCTGGCTCAGTTTGGGTTTAGGGTTAAAAGGCTCTGAAATCCTGGCTCAGTTTGGGTTTAGGGCTAAAAGGCTCTGAAATCCTGGCTCAGTTCAGGTTTAGGGCTAAAAGGGTCTGAAATCCTGGCTCAGTCTGGGTTTAGGGCTAAAAGGCTCTGAAATCCTGGCTCAGTTCAGGTTTAGGGCTAAAAGGCTCTGAAATCCTGGCTCAGTTTGGGTTTAGGGCTAAAAGGCTCTGAAATCCTGGCTCAGTCTGGGTTTAGGGCTAAAAGGCTCTGAAATCCTGGCTCAGTCTGGGTTTAGGGCTAAAAGGCTCTGAAATCCTGGCTCAGTTTGGGTTTAGGGCTAAAAGGCTCTGAAATCCTGGCTCAGTTCAGGTTTAGGGCTAAAAGGCTCTGAAATCCTGGCTCAGTCAGGGTTTAGGGCTAAAAGGCTCTGAAATCCTGGCTCAGTTCGGGTTTAGGCTAAAAGGCTCTGAAATCCTGGCTCAGTTCGGGTTTAGGGCTAAAAGGCTCTGAAATCCTGGCTCAGTTCAGGTTTAGGGCTAAAAGGCTCTGAAATCCTGGCTCAGTTCAGGTTTAGGGCTAAAAGGCTCTGAAATCCTGGCTCAGTCTGGGTTTAGGGCTAAAAGGCTCTGAAATCCTGGCTCAGTTCAGGGTTTG